GAACTGAACTGAACTAAGTTTTTTAGTCATATTTATAAGTTTCGTTATGCTGACGCAAGCACAGGCTTTCTTCGAATCTACTGCTGTCCTTGCGCTTCACATGAGAATGCTTTGTTTCGAGGAAGGTGTTATCTATTGTGTCATATTACTTGATATCTAATATTCTTAGATATTTTTCGTATATAACATTAATATATTTAATATATATATACAGGGTGTGAAAAGATTTACTGCCATTACTCAGCATGAGATGGAGTAATCATAAATGAACAAAAAAGTTGTATATTACAGGGGCGCAACAGTTTTTAAAATACAGCGAGTGTTAATATTGGGGAGTTTCATCACAACGTGACAACAGCGCTTAACCTGCTGGTGCAAAACACGCGTACACGCGGCAGACTTGTCCTACGGAAAAAATGTAAACAGCTATTATTGCGAAACATTTAGTAAATTTCAAGATCGTTTTCCAGTTTTTAATTAAATAAAATAAAATGTATCGACTTTGTGGTCAATATTTTGTTAGTTATTTAATTACGAATTAAATGTAAAATTAAAGTGAAAATTCATAAATTATTTTCAAATTATTATTTCTCATCAAAAAAAAAAAATAAATAAATAAATTTTAAATTGCATTATATTGCATTATATCTATTATTGAAAATGGTTGTGATTAATATTTTTTTAATTAATTTTGATTATGTTACAAAAATTTTTTTGTATAAAATTAGTAATAAATATAATAAAAAAACTTTACATATTAAAATTTCAAGAAGTTAAAATTGTAATTTTATCGACCGCATTATTTTTATTAATATTTTTTAATTTTGAGAATTTTGCAATAAATTCAAATGCTTTTTATTCTTTTTTAAATCTTTTAACAATAAATAATAATTTGAAAATAATTTGTGAATTTTTACTTCAATTTTACATTTAAATCGTAATTAAATAGCTAAAAAATTATTGAAAAAACAAGTTTACTTTGCCTTAATATGTAAAAGAAATAACTTTTTAAATGAACGATAGCTTCATTTATTTATT